CATTGTGGTTTCTAATTTTGTGTTTTATGGTGTGTGTGTGTGTGTGTGTGTGTGTGTGTATCTGTGTATGTGTGAGTATGTGTCTTCGTCTGTGTGTATCTGCTTCTTTTGCTTTTCTTTGTTTTTTATTCTGGTTGTTTGTTTGCTTATTTGTTTTCTAAAGAGAGAGAAAGAAGCCATGGCATCGGATGGATAGGAGGCAGGGAAGATCTGGGATGAGATGAGGGAGGGAAATCCATGATCAGAATATATTACATGAAGTAAAATCGACTTTCAATAAAATATAACAACTAAACAAACAAAGCAAGTGTTTCTATGTTGCCATAGACCCAAAGTCCCAATATATCTTATCAGTGTTCCCAGATCTACAGACACAGATGACACATTTGTAGAATGGTACCCCAAGATGGCAGGCTGGGGGAAAAGCAAGACTCTCTAATCCAAACAGAAGGTCATTGAAGTCTTATGTGGTCAAATGTTTCATTCCCTCAAAAATAATGTCTTTGTCTACTTGATTATCCAAGGTATTGGTTTAAAAATACTTTCTATAAATTTCAAAGGCTATGGAGAGATTTTTGTGGTTTGTTGATTGGTTGGTTGATTGGCTGGCTGGCTGGCTGGTTGGCTGGCTGGCTGGCTGGTTGGTTGGTTGGTTGGTTGGCTGGCTGGCTGGCTGGCTGGCTGGTTGGTTGGTTGGTTGGTTGGCTGCTAATTGACATTATCACTGTTACACACTCTTCTGAAGACCTATCATTTCTGATAGGCCCTATGAGAGCCCACCCTTGCTTCATTTCTTCCTGCATTGTTTCCATGTGTTTTACTCAGGAAAGTAACAAATCCATGTGTTATATGTCAAATAAGTAACACCTTATGGCAGATGCACATGCTCTAGGACTTTGCACAAGAATTATTCTAAGTAGAATCGGTCTCGTTTAAGACCATGTATTGAGAGCTGTCTCTAGCAAGTCACATAACAGCCCTTTCATTTTGTCCTACATATAAAAAGCAAAGTTGGTTTCTTCCCTGGGTGATTTTGTTAGAATCCATTCTGGACTCTCTAGATTCAATCTTGTGGCTCTTGCCATACAGCGTTTCATCTCATGTCTGAATGTCACCTAAAATTAAAGGTGAGCTAGTTTATTTTAGACATTGAAGTTAAAAGGATGTGGTACTATATTGGACACACAGTTCCGCTTTATGAAACCAACCCTGACATTTTATTTATTTTTAAACGTGAACTCACATTACCTGCTTTTGCCTTTGTGACTTACTTTAAACATCACCTTGCTTGCCTTCCAGACTCTAAGCTTAGCACTGTGCTTTGGCAAAAACCAATAAAGTGAGACCCGCTTTGCTGTGACTCAGGGAAGGCTGATCACCATTTTCTTGGCACATATATTACATTGATGGCTATTTTATAACATTTCCCTAACCTTCCTTCCAAAGTGTAATGAAGGTTTGTTTTGGTGTTCTTACATCAAATCCTGTTTGTATTTAATGCCCTGAGCACACTCCATTAGTGGATTTTGTACTAAGGCCAGATAATCAAATATTCTCGATTTTCTTAAAATCCCACATTGAATTTATAAAGCAGCCAATAAGGCTCCCAGATGTCCACCTATAAATAATCACAGCTGCTTGTAAATGTCCCTCCCCCCCCTTACCTCGTATTCCTATCGGGCCAAAAATAACAGTGTGCTAGTTTACCTCATATTGAATTTCCTGACTATACACTGTTGCTGTTCTTTTGAAAAAACAAACGCATCTATATCTTTCTCCATTTCTCATGAAGAAACCAGTATTGAACCAAAAGAGCTCTGTTACTGCCTTTCACGTGTCTTTTATGAGGGTAATTTTTCTGAATAGGTCTCTTTGGGGATCATCTTCATTCTCAGTCACTTGTGACCAGACATTGCTGTCATTGGACAAAACCCACTGTTTTTAGCATGTTGTGTTTCAGATTGTTTTGTGAATCATCTACACTTTTCTAGTATTTATAAAGATATTTCTCTTGGAAGCCAGGCAGAGATGAACCCCATATTCCCAGCACTTGGGAGGTGGAGCAAGATCAGAGCAGTGTCATTCCCAACGACACAGAGTTCAAAGCCAACCTGGGCTACAGAGGACATTTTCTCATGACACACTCCCTCCGTGGAGGGGTGGGGCAGGAGATATTTCTCTCAGGATTGAGGCTAGATCAGTGGTAGAACATTAGCTACATCTATCTGTACATGAGGTTCTGGGTTCCATAAAGTAAACAAATTCTCTTGTGCTAAATATTCAGTCTTGTCACATGTAGATGATGGTCACCCATCCGTGCATTGCTTTTCACTGTTGTATAGGGGTCATCACCTCTTTCTTTACCTATAGTTAAAGGTTTTGTAAGGCTGTCAAACGCAGTGGTGGATACTGACGGAGCACAGTGTGATACATCTGAGCTCTTGTTGCCTTCTCACAGTGCACAATGTCCCTGTGTTTAAATATCTATAGAATAATCTCTCTAATGGGGTGGCAGTCACTGGAGACTGGACTTCTGAATTCTCTGTTTGGGATTCTCATGTCTTATTTAAATTGAGTGAGCTTCTTACTTTTCTTTCATTGTACTAGATTTGGTGAAGAGGTTTCTGTTATGTTCGTGGAGTAAATTAGACAGTCTCCCTTTAAACTCCTGTTTGGAAACCTTTAGAATAAACCACATTCGTCCATTTTTTCAGCATTTATATTTTGGGTTCAGTTCTGATCTTTAAACTCACCTTAGAAAATGGTTCTCCCTAAGATCTTCATAGCAAATCCCGAAGATATTTTTCAATACTCTGCATGTTTAAATGTTTTGCACGTCTGTGATGTATTCCTTGAATAATTGTATTTTTGAGTTTTGGGTTTTAAGGCTACGTTTTCCAAAAACAAGTCTTTGTGGTTTCACAATTTGCAAAGAAGCAGCTTTTCATTTTAACTATATGTGTACATGCACACACGGTACTTTTCTAATGTAAGTGAAACCAAATATTTAGTTCAATTTTTTTTGCTTTGTCCAATTTAAAAAAGTAAAACGCCACCAATTACTTGCTTCACAGACAAAATGGCATTGTTTGACTTCTCACATATGAAATTAAATTAACCCACCGATACCTTGCTTTTAATGACATGATTAGAATTTCGTCTTTTTTTTTTCAAAAGTTTTACAAGTTTGCACTTTTTTTGGACTGCTCTAATAGTTGTCCTTTGCTCCTGCACCCTGCTTTCTGTGCTGTTACTTCTTTACTCTTACGTTATTTTGACACTTCCTTCAGTTGCCTAGGATAATTTCTATCATGTTCATAAAGACGTAGATTTGGAAGACTAGAACACTGGCTGTTCTTCCAGAAGAGCACTCTTCACTTTCCTGCATGCACATGGTGGCTCAAAAACCTCTGTTACTCCATATGCAGAAGAGATATGATGCCCTCTTTTGGCTTCTTCAGGCACTGTACACACATGGTGCACATACATCCATGTAAACAAAACACTCTACATGTTAAATAAAAAGTAATTTTATTTATAAAAATACATCATTGGTAAGTTGTTTTTTTCCTTTAAAAGGTGACAACGGTGGCTGTGATGTCTTCACTTAGCATATATATTGAATTTTCAAATGCTGAAATGTCCACAGTTCTTCCTTTTCAAACAAGTGACAACAAAAAACAGAAACAGAACACAAATTCAAAGTCTTCCAGCTTACCTCTGTAAGATTCCAGCTTCCAGCCATCTCAGAGAGACGGGAACTGGGAAGGATTTGTGGATAGAGACATGGAGGGGAACTCAAGGGACATTGTCCATGGCCTTGGAAGCTAAATCTTGGGGATGCAGCCTCTGAGACTGGCTGACGTCCTTACCCCTGCTCTACTTTAAGGCTCTGGGTTCATCTTTCCTCTCTTAGGAGAAACACTTCCTGGTTTGTGGGAAATAATTGCAATTCTTTGCTTTCAGAACTATTGAAAGTTTAAATCTTGAATTTTCTAAGACAAGGGGGAAAAATCAAAGATAAGTGGGCATTTGTACCCTTTCAATACAGCATCTTACAAGATTTATGGGTTTTTAATTATTTTTATGATTATTTTAGAATAATTGTGACATTTTCTTGAGAAATTTTGGCCCTTTGGCAGCTAATCTTTTTTACTTTGATGCTTCACGTTTTTCATCCATCTCATCCATGTTCCATTAAAAGAACATTCTGGGGCTGAGGAGATGGCTCAGCATGTAAGAGCACTTGTACAGGCATGAAGACCCCACTTCATATCTCTGGCAGTCATGTGAAAAGACATGTGTGCCTCTAACCCAGGAGGATCACTCAAGGTCCCTGGATTTCTCTCTCAAAACAATAAAATGGGGGATGATAGAGCAGGACATCCAGTGCTCTTCTCTGTCCTGTATCCCTGTGCACATATAACACACACAGACACACACACACATGCACACATACATACACCACACATGCACACAGACATGCACACACACGCATACACACACCATACACTTGTATATACACACAGGCATGCACATATGCTCACACATGTACACATGCATATACATACATCATAGATGCACACGGACATACATACACATGCACACACACACCATACTTGTACATGTATACACACATATACATATGTACATACATATGTACATGCATACAGTCATGCACACACACTTACACCATACACATGCACACACATACACCATCCATGTGCACATGCATGCACATACACAAACACACACACATATGCGTGCACTCACATACAGACATGCACACACATGCATATACATGTACCATACATGCACACATGCACGCACACATATACCATACATACATGCATGCATGCACACACACACCATACACACACATACTCATATACATGCACACATACACCATACATGGGCACATGTGTGCACATACAAATATATATAATTCTGAGAAACAATATCTCTGTAAACTCAGTTTACTTTTTGTGTTTCTTCTATAGGTGAGGACCAACATTAGGAGTCGTGGGTGAAGACATCAGAAAAGTGAGCTTCTTTTTTCTTTCTTTCCTAGTCTGATAGGTTTTTCAGCTACTTGACTGTGAAATATATGTCAAAATATTAATATAATTTGTGTTTGTTAGATATTTTATGAATATATACTAAGGCCATTTTAAATTTTTAAGTAGTTTTTTTAAAAAAAACTTTTAAGTTTTTAACTACTTTGCAATCCAGAATAACAACTATTGTTCTGCAAGTATATGAAGTGAAAGGCGATGCTTACTTCCCAATAATACACACCTAGGTAAAAATGGGATCAAAAAAGAACCTATCCTAGCCATACCTGTTTCTTCTGGTTAGCCTGCTGCAAGCTAATGAGTCCATGTTCCTTTGAGATGCTTTTCATTGGCCTGACAAAGTTCTGCTTGTCCTTCTTAGCTTCTATCTCTCAAGGTTTAAAACCCCTCCCAGATGTTGTAGTGGATGATAGTACTTGAATGATGGTAGTTTAAAAGGTGAAGGGTGGGCCCATGCTTGTTCAGTCTAGGCACTTGTTTGACTGTTCCTTTCCATACTGTTTGAGACTATTAAACTCTCACCACGGTTGGGGCAGTTTATAAACTGAAGAACACCACTCAATCCCATATCAAAATTCCATAAAATGATAAGAACATATGAGAATTTTTCTAAGCATTGGGTAAGCACAGTGTTCCTGTGTGTGTGTGTTTGTTTATAATTTTTAATTTTATGAAAAAGTGAGAGAAGAAAAGAAACTGAACTTCAACAATGGGTTAAAACAGTGGTTCTCAACTTTCCTAATATTGCAACAGTTTAATATAGTTCTTCATGTTGTGATGACCCCCCCAACCATAAATTTATTTTTGTTGCTTCTTCATAACTGTGATTTTGCTACTGCTATGAATCACAATGGAAATAACAGTGGTTTTGAACGGTCATAGGTGACCTCTGTGAAAGTGTCCATTCAATCCACGGAGGAGTCGTGACCCATGTGTTAACAACCACAGCGATAGTACTTCATGACCTCAAGCCACAGAGTAATAATGCTTCACAGGAGTTGCACACATTTGATGGGCTGCGTATTTCTGGAAGAGTTCAAAGTCATCAGAAAGACCATCTTTCAATGGAGCTAAGCCTGTATCTAAACTCATCAGAATTCATGTGACAATGAGTTGTTCTCTGCAGGTCTTTGTCATTGCCAGGAAATGTCCCATCAATTATTTTGCTTAACTGTGTCTATCTAGAAGGCTCACTTGATAAAAACAAAAACCAAAAAACAAAAAACAAAAAACAAAAAACAAAAAAACACAAGGATTTGTGGTCCATAGTTGGTTTATCCATTAGGCACAGTGCTCACAGTTACCTATAGTAACCTACGCAAATATTTTAATTAACTTCTTTAAAGTATAAGAAAAATATAAATATATTAAGGAATATATAGTATTGGATCTGAATTACATTTGTCTTGATACCAATATAACTAAGATAAATTATTTTAATAATTTTATGAAAGAAGGATGACGAGGGCCAACGTGCCCAAAGCCTACAACACCCATATGACACTCCCTGGGACACACTCAGACACACGTTTGAGAGAGTTGGTCATTTTGTAGTTTTGTTTGGCATAGAGTAGAAATTTTCTTTAAAAAAAAGATTTATTATTTATGCATATGCATGTATGTCCATGTAGGTTTATATGCACCATGTACAGGCGGGTGCATGTGGAGACCAAAAGACGGCTGATTCCCCTGGAGCTGGAGTCAGTCACCAGTGGTTGGGAGCTCCTAATATAGGTGCTGGGACTTGAACCCAGATTCTTTCCAAAAGCAGTGAGTGTTCTCACTGCAGATCTGTCTCCAGCCCCTTTGGCTTCACAACTGTTGTCCTTTTCTTTATCTTCTTCTCTTCTCTTTTTCTCCTCCTCCTCCCCCTTTTCTTCCTCCTCTCTTCCTCTTCTCCCTCCTCCTTCCACCCCTCCTCCTCCTCCACCCCTCCTTCTTCTTTGGAAGGATTATGTTTTCTGTAAATAAATCTATACATTTTCTTCTTAGAGTGATACTTGGTTATTTCTACAAAGACAGAAAAAAATTGACATAGTGATATATTAAATAGGACTATTCAATCAGTTTTCCTAAAATTAAATAACTATTTTCCTGTCTGGCACCCAGAGATATAATGCAGGCAGTAAGAGAATGATGCTTAACTCGGGTCCCGTGGTTCCCATTAGCTTTATGTCACTGAAGGCTTGTGCTCCTTGGGGACTGTTGGCCTGCTATACCTCCTTGCTGCTTGTTTCGGGGAAGTGAGTCCAGAATGGCAGTTCTGGTGTTACGGATCTCTATGACTACGTGCAAGTACTTTTCAGTGTCTGTGGCTCATCTGGTTTCATTTACTTTCAAAGCCATGTTCTGGTTTCGTAGAAACTAACTTTGTTTGTCTTCAACTTTGGTGGCTATCAGTGATGCAGAGACCACCTCCTCAGAGTCGCTTGTTGACTCAAAGTAAGTTCATTGACTATCTGGGGGATCTTCTTTTTAAAGATGAGCTTCCTGAAGACCGGGATCTTTACGTGTTGTGCTGACTGCTCTAGACCTTAGGAAAAAACAGAAATATAAGAGGAGGTCAAATGTTTCCTGGAAGAATGAGGTAATTTCCTGCTTTAGAAAAAGTCAGGCCTTGCCCTGAAATAGCCTGCTCTTGAATTTGGTAGCGAAGAGCACTGGTCAACCTTTGTTCTCTGGTACCAAAGGGCTTTGGCAGGCATGCAGAAGTGTATAGGGTCTCTTAGGAAAGGACAGGAACTTGGGAGCCAGGTACTTACAAGCCACAGTTCTGTCCTCTGGGAGGCAGCACTTTATGTCATATGCTCCTGTCTGACAATGTGGCTGCTACTTACACAAACTGAACAAGAAGAGCCAGAGAATTGTAGACAGATGGGTTGCCTCTTTGTAGCTACTGAAGACCGAAGACTAAGAAATGAGAAGACTGACCATGATTAGCAATTCTAAGCATATAGAAATTTCAAATAGCAGAGGATAGGTCTGGTATATATAAACATAGGGTTTGTTTACTTGAAGAGAACCAGAAATGTATGTTCTTTCTATTGGCATAATAGGTATGTATGTGTTCAGTTCAAAGACTACATTTTTTTAGGCACCACAAAAAACAGCATCAAAAACCACTTTTCTACCCCCTGACCCTGTGGGTTATTTCCTCCAGCTTCTTGTTTAGGTTTTCTCCCACCCAGGATATTTGATAAAATGACACTGGAGTCAAGCTAGTGTAAGAGTAGATAGTTGAAGAGGAGCCTAAGGAACAGAAGCATGCCCTTTACTGTTGCAAGGTCACCCAGGTATCTTTAAATATATATATATATATATATATATATATATGTATATATATATATATATATATATACATTGTAGCATCAGACACACTAGAAGAAGACATCAGATCCCATTACAGATGGTTGTGAGCCACCATGTGGCTGCTGGGAATTGAACTCAGGACCTCTAGAAGAGCAGTCAGTGCTCTTAACTGCTGAGCCATCTCTCCAGCCTCCCACTAGGCATCTTGATCGTTACTCTTCTGCTGGCATTTTCTGAGCCCCATATACTATTGAGTTGAGGAACTGGTGAGAGAACTCCTTTTCAGTAAAGATGCCAAAGATTCAAGATTATAGATTGCCCACACTAGTTAAGATTAAGCTGTGACTGTGATCAACAGTACGCATGATCCTCCCATGCACAGGGATCCTCTCTGGAGCATCATTATCATTTCTTACATCCCTGTATTAGGTGTTCTTCCATCATGAGGAGGACCACTCACTGAACCCACCCCAGGTCAGTAGCAGCCACTGGGATACCTCAGAAACCAGCAATAGCCCTACAGCTGAAGTCTTTGTGGGTTGTAAATTGCAGCTTTTTAACCACTAAAGTTTGCATACCGTTTGGTAAAAGTATGCTGGGAACAAAATAGACCCTGTATGCCTCACGGGTCTTATAGGTGACCTTGCTACTGTGTCCCAAGGCCCTGTAAGTGTCTGACTCAGGGCTGATTGATTCGTCGGAAGTCAACTAATAAAACAATAATCAGTGTCTACGTCATTAATGATTCATATGACGAATAAGTAACTCATTATATCAAACTAGACACTGCCAATACGACCATCCGGTAACATTCTTGGCAAACTGCTGGAACACAGGAACCAGAATGCAGCATCCAACCTTAAAAAGCCACCAAAGCACTTTCCCTCAATTTCTCGCAAAGCAAAAATCTTCCAACTTTCTCTTGGCCTGACTGGGCAGCATTGTGATAATGATTTTTTTAAATATACAAATATTAAAAATATTACACAAACTAGATGTAGTAGCTATAGAAATCTGGCAGAATCACATCATCCAAAAAATATCCAGGTTTGACTTTCCACAGTGGGTATCTCTTTTTCTTTAACATGGATTTGTGGGAACTTTGCTTGCAGAAGCTGGGGTTAAGCCCGCCCCATTGTAGACTTTTCAGTTTTGGCTGGGGAAGGATGCAAGGAGATCACCGAATGTTCTTTAAACTAACAAAACGCTAGTTTCAAATGGACACTTAAGTTTAACGTTCTCCATTCTGTTGTAAAGGTAAAATAAACTTTATCTTTACTTTGATCACTTATCCTTGGTGTCTTCTCTTTCTCTTCTTTGCAGCGTTTGTCTTATACTTATCATGGACTTGGGGAAGAGTTCTTCACTAGAAAAATTACTTAAGTACTTGGGACTTTATGCTGTGGCTCAGTGGTAGATCATGTGGCTGGCATGCACAAGGCCCTGGGTTTGAATCCCAACAGCACGAAAAACAAAACACTTGTCTTCTCATGAGACGGATATCCTCAGGGATGGGATGCTAACACCTCCTGCTCTTCCGGGCTTTGAGAATCAGCAGTCATGGAGATAAAATTTTGGGGAAGTCAAGCTGGAGGAGGGAGGGAAGGAATTTTATAATTTCATGATCAAATGAGTGAAATGTATATTAAAAATCAATCC